TGTGGTTCTCTTGATGCTTGGTAAGTAAAATGCCTCTTAAAATTTGGATTCTTTTTTTTTTATTGTGTGTGCAAAACCTTTAACTATCATTTTATCCAAGATCTATATGCCCAAGGTGACAAACTCTCTTTTCTTTTTCCTCAGGACAAACCCATGGAAACTCAGTGACCCAGACGGAGGGCCAAGTGACCCTCTTAGAAGAGGATTCCCTGACTGTAAACTGTACTTATTCAACAACGGGGTCCCCCACTCTTTTCTGGTATGTCCAGTATCCAGGAGAAGGTCCAGAGTTCCTCCTGAAAGCCTTGAGGGACAAGGAGAAGGGAAGCAAGAAAGGATTTGAAGCCACCTATGACAGAGATTCCAAATCCTTCCACTTGGAGAAAGGCTCAGTGCAAGCGTCAGATTCCGCTGTGTATTACTGTGCCATGAATGACACAGTGACGGGGACTGCAGGGGGAGCTGAGCACAAACTCTGAGCAGAACAGGAGCTTAGAATGTGAGTGTCTCTGCCTGATCTACTCTGGTTCCAGCACAGTCTGTGGTTGTTTGTCCCTCAGTGTCTGCTTGATACAAAATCATACAAAGGATCAGAGCATAGGAACCAGAAGTAACATCCCCCAACCCCAGCTGTTCCTTAGTGACATTGAGAACAGTTTGATGCCAAGAGTTCCTCAACCAGGGCATAAGTAATTTCGAGGTAAAACCACATAACAATGAAGTGGTCTCTTGCTCATCCTTGCAGTGGATGTCCAGTCCCACAAGTTGTTCAGGGCACCCTGGTGGGTATTGCTGTGTCTTTATGACAGTTTTAGAGACACACGGTGTGCCTGAGAAGGTGGTGATGCCCAATGTCTTCCTGATAGAGTATGACAGGAGAGGTGATGGGAGAGCTTCAGTCCCAAACCAGGTTTTAGCAGAAAAAGAAGGGATGGGAAGAAAGGAGGACAAACACATGTACCTGAGCAAGGAAAAGAGAGGCCAGCGACCTCTGCCCTGCTTTCTTTTCTAGTGAATCAGGTGGCGACTCAGGCTGATATTCAACATGAAGGGGTGTGGGCAGAAACAGAATGGAGGAAGGGGCTCATGGGCCAGTTAAATAGATCAGTTGGCTTTCTGACAGTAGGAACTCAAGTGAGATCCTACTGTGCCCAGGAAGTACGGTGAGAGAAAATGCTCTTGCACAGATGTTTCCTAACAATATAGATTGATAGCTGACACTGGGAGGGAAATCCTATAGATTTCACTAATTCCTGTTTTGCAACCTCTCACAGAGAGCCACAAATCATGGGATTGGGAGAAAGTATGGGTGTAAGTGAAGTTTTGCAAAAATAAGAGAAAAAGCAATGTCTGCATTGCAGCGCAAGACTTTGCCAGTACTTTTGCAATCTTCTTTAAGTATTTTTAATCACTTATTTATTTATTTTAGAGGGCGAGGGAGGCAGAGGAGGAGTGCAGGGTGCGGTGTGTGGAGGGAAGGGACAGAGGTGAGAGAGAGAGAATCTCAAGCAGACTACTCAGTGAGCATGGAGCCTGACATGGAACGTGATCTCATGATCCTGAGATCATGACCTGAGCTGAAAAGAGCCAGTCATTTAACCAAACAACTGAATCACCCAGGAGCCCTGTGATCTTTAATTATTTTCCCCTTATCAGTAGATTTTATGAATGAGCTATGATCAGAATATTAATACATTTCCTTATATATTAGTCATATATTCTTGCTTTAAATTAATTTTTTATTTAATTGGTTTAAAATATAAACTTTTCTTCAAACCTTTATTAACATAAAAGTATGTGAAAATTCACTTTAAACAATTCAAAAGGTTATATAATAAGAATTTTTCTCAGAGTTTTGGTTAAACTTGGTAGACTAGGGGTGCCTGCCTGGCTCTGCGGGTAGAGCTGGGACTCTGGATCTCGAGGTTGTAAGTTTGAGCCCTGTGTTTTGTGTTGAGATTACTTAAAATCTCTAAAAAAAAAACCAAACAAAAACAAACCACCCATTGTAGATTAATAATACCCATTTGTCTCTTGATTTCTCTAAAACTCTATTAAGAAGATAGTAAAGACACCCCAAAGGGCAGAAAGCTGCAAACACAAAGAGAAACAAGAAAGAAGCTATCGGCAGACAATGACACCAACCAATTTTAGAAAATAGGCTGTATGTGGTTAGGGGCAAACTTGCATGAAAGACTAGAGAAGGAGAAACCTGGGCCCACTGTGGAAGCACCTCAGTGTGTGCCGTGCCCTCCGGAAAGGGTCAGGGAAAACAGCACCACATACTTTTGGATAATTGAGGAAGATGGTGTTGCCCACGTTGGTGCGTGAGTGGGTGTGTGCATGTGTGCGTGTGTGTTGAAGGTATTGAGCTGGAGGGAAGTAAAATATGTGGACCCAGGGAGAAAATTTCTAAGTCACAGAACAGCCATGCATCCACAGCCCTTTATATGAAGTAATGATCATCTACTAAACCCAGCAGAAAATTGGGTGTCAGTCTTTGAGGAATTAAGAAGCACACATAAAAAAATTTCCCCCAAATCTTGTGCATTTGAGCTTTTTGATTTTTGCTCACCAGTTCAACTTCCCTTTACTTAAAGAAGTTCTTCAGTTCTTCCCTCTAACCCCTGGCAACCACTGGTTTTTTACTGTCTCCATAGTTTTGCCTTTTCCAGAATGTCATATCTTGGGTGTGAAACAGAATGCAGCCTTTTCAGATTGGCTTCTTTCACTTATAAATATGCATGTGGGGTGCCTGGGTGGCTCAGTTGGTTAAGATGGTTGTCTTCAGTTCAGCTCATGATCCCAGGGTCCTGGGATCAAGTCGCAGGTTGGGCTCTCTGCTTCTCCCTTCCCTCTGCCTGTTGCTCCCCCCTGCTTGTGCTCTCTCTGTCAAATAAACAAATAAAATCTTTTTTTTTTTTTAAAGAAATATGCATGAAAGTTTCCTCCATGTCTTTCCATGGCTTGATAGCTCATTTCTTTTCAGCACTGGATAGGATTCCCTTGTCTGGCTCTACCATAGTTTACTTACCCTTTCTCCTACTGAAGGACGTCTTGGTTGCTTTCATGTTTTGGCAATTATGAATAAAACTGCTATAAACATTTGTGTGCACGTTTTTTTTTAACGATTTTATTTATTTGTTTGACAGAGAGAGACAGCGAGAGAGGGAACACAAGCAGGGGGAGTGGGAGAGGGAGAAACAGGCTGCCCACTGAGCAGGGAGCCCAATGCGGGGCTCCATCCCAGGACCCTGGGATCACGGCCTGTGCCGAAGTTTTTGTGTGCAAGTTTTTGTGTATACCGTTTTCCAGCCATTTGGGTAAACACCAAGGATTGTCACTGGTAGATCATATGATAGGAGTGTGTTTAGTTTTTTAAGATACGTTTACACTTGTCTTCCAATGTGGCAGTACCACTGTGCATTTCTGTCAGCCAGGAATGAGGTTTCCTGTTGCTGGACATCCTTGCCTGTGTTAAAATAAAAACCAAACAGAGAAACCTTGAAAATTCCCTGGGCAATGATCACTTTCTATATCAATGTAGTCCTACAAATGAAGCTTAATTTAGTTTATTTTGCAAGACTAACTTGACCCACATCAGTTTTTTTGTGCCTTTGGAAATTGTAAGCAAAACTTGAACTGTTTCCCAAGTTTGATGTGAGGTACCCAGTGAGCAATTTCTGATATTGTTTAAACAATTCTGTTATTATAACCAATCACTGTAAAAATAGACTCTCACTGTCTCCTCACTCTATAAACTGCTTTCTAACAATATACCCCTGAGCCTCATTCCATGTTTTGGTTTGAGTGCTCCCACTTCATGAACGGTCTTTTTGGGGTGTGCACAGGACACTTTTACTAATTCTCACTTTGGTGAAATTCACTGGATTGACCTTGGGCTATTTCTGAGTTTTTGACACCAGCATTTGGTGGCGTTAGCATTTTGGATTTGGGCCATTCTAACAGTTGAGACTGTGGTGTCTTATTTTTTTAAATGTGATTTGTATCGTGTACAGAACCCTCACCATGAGATACAGACTCTTAAAATTTTAAGTGTACAATATATGATTATTGGCTATGGGTACAAAGTTGTACAGCAATTGTCTATTCTTTCATCTTGCTCATGGATTAGTAACTCCCCATTACCCCACCCCCAGGGCCCATGGCAAACTCTTCTTTGATTCACTCTTTGATTCTATGAATTTGACTATTTTAGATGCCAGTTTAAGTGGAATCATGCATTATTTGTCTTACTGTGACTGGCTTATTTCAGCTAGCATAATGTCCTCAAGGTTCATCCATGTGGTTGCATATTGTAGGATTTCCTTTTTTTTCTCTTTAAGGCTGAATAGTACTCCACTTATGTATATAGCACACTTTCTTTATCCATTTATCTGTTGTTGGACATTCAAGTTTTTTTCCCATCTTGGCCATTGTGAACAGTGCTGCAATGAACATAGGAGTGCTTAATATCTCTGAGATCCTGATTTCAATTCTTTTTGATAAATACTCATAAGTGGGATTACTGGATCATATGATAGTTCTATTTTATACTTTTTGAAGAACGTTTATACTGTTTCCCATGTTTACAGCATTGTGCATTGCCTCCAACAGTTTGCAAGTGTTCCAGTCTCTTCACATCCTCGACAAGAGCTGCATTTTGTGCTTTTGAAAATAACCTTCAATTTTTTTTGATGTATAAAGTATGAGGGTACCGGGAAATTTATTGTAAATGTAGAAGCAAATACATTAAGATAGTCATCATTAAAAAGGAACTAGTGGTGGGGGGTGGGAGGGATGGGGTGGCTAGGTGATAGACATTGGGGAAGGTATGTGCTATGGTGAGCGCTGTGAATTGTGTAAGACTGTTGGATCACAGACCTGTACCTCTGAAACAAATAATACATTATATGTTAAAAAAAAAAAAGAAGAAGATAGCAGGAGGGGAAGAATGAAGGGGGGTAAATCAGAGGGGGAGACAAACCATGAGAGACTATGGACTCTGAGAAACAAACCGAAGGTTCTAGAGGGGACGGGGGTGGGGGGATGGATTAGCCTGGTGATGGGTATTAAAGAGGGCACGTTCTGCATGGAGCGCTGGGTGTTATACACAAACAATGAATCATAGAACACTACATCAAAAACTAATGATGTGATGTATGGTGATTAACATAACATAATAATAAAAAAAATTTAAAAAAAAGGAACCAGAAAATTATACATGTTTAAAGTATATGCTTTTTTCTGCCACTTTCAATTTGTGGCTAGTACCAACATTTTATTTTATTTATTTTTTAAAAATATTTAAATTCAATTAATTAACATATAATGTATTATTGGTTTCAGAGGTAGAGGTCAGTGATTCATCAGTCTTATATAATACCCAGTGCTCATTATATCAAGTGGCCTCTTTAATGCCCATTTACCCCGTCCCTCTACCCCCTTCCCCTCCAGCAAACATCAGTTTGTTTTCTTA